TTTTACGAGCAAAAAATATGAAATGAAATAAAAACGAATGAATACAAAATTCCAGAGCCCTTCTCCAACTCCTGCTGTATAAAAGCTGCTTCATTTTGCGTTGGGTTTAATATTGTTCATTACTCTCAGCCCCTTTTTGAGAGATGTATTCCATCATTTTTTTTTCCACACAAAAACAGGAATCTTTGAAGCTGGAATTCAAATTCATTCGCTTGAACTTTTCCATTGAAATCCTGAAAAAAAATAGTTGTATCTGAAGATAACCAATTCTTCAACTTATTAAAAGTTAAATGTTGTTTATTCTTCCCATTTTATTGATAATTACTTATCAAAATAGCAATTAAGGTTTGGTTATTAATTTTTTCTTCATTTTATATTATCTAGAATTACATAATCCAGACTCCTAATACAATGGAAATCTCAATTTTTGGGAGAATAAGAGATTTTTTAAGAGATTATTAACTGCAAAAAAAAAAATCGTATTGGTGTGAGGAAAAGTCGGATTTAATTTTATTTCGCAATTAATTGATTCATGTACATGACAGAATGACTGAACGAGAGATGATTATTGGTTATAAAGTATTCCATTCTGTTCCTATCCATGGCAATTTAAATGTATTTTTTGTTTTATTATATCTAATTCAATAAATTGTATATTTATTAAAATAATTTAAGAAATTTTAAAAAATAGTGCAAATAACTAGAAACGTTTTTAATAAAAAAAAACTGCCAAAAAATTATAATATATTTAAATATTTTCTTTCAATCAACATTAATTAACTTGCCTCATTAATAATAATTATATTTATACAATTTTTATACTTTCAATAAAGCACAGATTTAACAAAACGACCTTTTAAACCTTATTGATGCTTTACTTGCAAGCGATGATTACATTGGAATTTTGCAACGGCATCAAGAATGCCTAGTCAGACAAAAGCCAATTTAAAGTTTCGCGCAACAATTAATGGCGATCGCGCGCGTCAAACTAATTATTCCGAGGCAGCGCGCGAACTTGACAATTTTATGGCAGGCTGCGCGAGATAAGTCTCGAATTAATTTGGCGCCTTCGAGGTATGCAGCACGCGCATCCGGCTAATGAGAGAGCGACGTGAAGAGCTATTCCCTCGCTCTGCGCCGCCCGTCATGTTCTCTTTTGTCGAGCGAGCAAATTTTTCGACGCACCAAGAAAAGAGAAGAAGAAGAGAGAGTGGGCGATTCTTTTATTTTCACACGAGTTAAGATTAAAAACTTTGTCGGCGAAAAAGTTTCTCATCTGCTAATTGGAGCAGTTTTGTTAAAAGGCGAGCTTTAATTTATATAAAAAGAGCAGAGCACGTACGACGCACGCGTGCAATTTTATTTTTTCTTTTCCCAACTGCCAACAGCATTTTCCAGTGTTGTTGTTTTTGGCTTTGTCAAATGAGAGCTCGCGCGGACAAACACGGGTCACGTGTTTAATTAAAAATCCACCACCGCGCTTTGTTATCCGCGCCAGTCGTGTAATTTGGATTTCATTATTCCGCACTGCATCAAACGCCCCGTTTCGGCCGAGGTCGGTGGCGAACGGGGCGGAAAGGTCGAGCGGCGCCAAAAGTTTGCAGGCGCCACTTGGGAATTCGAGTTCAGCACTTGTCGGTCGAGTCTAGCTAGTGTTAATTTGGCGATGCTAAGTGAGTCTTGATGTTGCTGAAAGAGACTCCACTACTTACAAAGTCAAATAAAAATCGTGAAATGGATGCTGAAATCTATGAAAAAATTTTAAAGAAAATCAGAATGTGCACAAAAGCTCAAAAATTCTTTTTACTTACTAATGCATTTGATAATAAACAACAAATGCATAATAGTTATGCAAATATTACTTGTTTAACGAGTTCATACAATTTTGAATTAATTTAGGCAGGGTTTTACAAGTCAAGTACAAAAATTAATAATTAAGTTGCTAAAAACTTATTAACTCAAAAAAGGAAAATGTTAAATGTTTGAAATTGAAAAATAAACTAGGATATATTTATTCAATTAAAAGTTGTGTAAAAGCAGAACTAGAAAAAGAAAACTGCACTTAGAAAACACGGCTAATGGATTTGGTTTTCCATCAAAACTTTGTAGAAGAAACACAAAACAGAGCTTTTTTTTAGTAATTAATAATGCATTCGCAGAAGTGGCCTCTTTTAATCCCGGAGCTGCCTGAATCGAAAAGTTGTTTTTAGTTGGCGGCGAGTGTCGCCTGCCTTTTTCCAACTGCAAAGTGGTTGTGCGTTTTGCTTTTGCGCCCTCGCAGTGGCAATTAAGGGTGCATTAATTGCACGAGCCGAGTGCACCGGCAGCGTGCTTCAGTGGCCAGCCAGCCCTGTTTATTTCTTTCGTTTGCGAGAACGATATAAAAATATAGGACATGCGCAGCGTGGAAATAAAAAGGGTGAACTATGGCAGCGCGCGAGTGCTTTTAATGGTTCGTGTTTGCACGGCCTGTGAGAGCGAGAGGCTTTAATTGCAAACACACAAATGTGCACAAGAAAAATGAGTAAGTGCCGAGTGACCCAGACACGTGGAATTTCCTGCTGGCGGCGCGCATCACGACCGGTTGCACAACTCGCTTCGAGAATCCACGCTGATCTGCACTACAAACTCCATGATTAATTTAAACTGCGAAAAGTCATTAAAATTTTGCCTTTGTGAATATTCCAGTGGTTCTCCATTTTTAATAAAAGTGGTATTCATTATAATAAATTGCTTTTGCATTTATCATTTTTGTTAGAGAAAAATCATGAAAAATTAATAAAAAAAGCCATTTTAATAGAATGAGTTAAGGTCAACATTTAAAAACAATTATTATGAATAAAAACAGGTCCATGTTTTTTTTTATCTGGGGTTTGATTAATCATTACAGCGTGATTAATGTTTGCACAATTTTGAGAACAAACTAATTATTTCAATGCAAATTTTGTTTTGAATTTGTAATATTTAAAACAATTTATCCAACAAGACTGCCGAAAAAACCATTTTTCTTGGAAAAAACTATTTTCCTTGGTAAAGACGAACGTTTTATTTATGAATGCGAAATTTATTTCATAATATTAAGAAAACCTTCATTTCTTTGATTGTTGATTTTCAACTTCAAAATCAATTCTCAACTTCCAAGTAAAACAGTAATATAAATAAAATTCTAAAATCAGTTGAGAAATTTCTAATAACTGTTCAAACAGTAAAAATATTTAACCTGGAAAGCGAAAGAATATTTAAATTAAAATTTGTTTTTAAATAATATAAAAAATAGGAAAAATAATAATAAAAAAGAAAAATATTTATTTAGAAAAGTCACAAGTTATCTGTTTTATTTATTAAATATTATTAATAAAATTATGTATATTCTCATTTATCAATTACAAAGTGAAAGAAAATTTATGATTATTGCTGATTATTGCTTTTCCTCATTGCATGTAAAATATTTTTTTTTCTTTTTCTCGTGCAAGCTGCATTCCCATGGATTCGAGTACCCAAGTAAAAGGATTAAAAAAAAATACTGCCGCAAATTTCTACCGCTTGATGAAAAGTGGTGAACGTCAAGCAAAACCATCAATTTGCTTTAAATTTTCTCTTCAGCTTCATGTTTGTGCTTCGCGTTATTAGATGAAGCTTATTCAAAGCTCGCCATTCCGTATGCACATTCTGCAAAGCAATCCATAATGCACGACTGGACGAGTGCAAATAATCCGTCCGGCGGAAGGGAAATAAACATAAGCAACCATCCAGACGCGAATTGATACGTTCAAATATTTATATACAAATACGCATTTCATATATCAAATCACGTGTGTATTAGGCATGAAATACGCGGCTCTCGGACTTGAATAATAAATTTATATAACCGAATAAATATTCTGGGTGGAAAATTCAGCTGGGAGTTCTCAAAGGGAACCGTCCGTGGCCGAGAGGCAATTAAATTGAATCACTCGCGCCGGCAGCAACGGGCAAATAAGTAAGTCGCTCAATCAATAAAAGAGAGAGAATGGGGCAACCTTAGGGTTGGCGCCTAATTAATTTGAGCAATCGCTCCTCTGATGCCCCAATTTACATCGTGGAATTATGGGATTTGCAGCCAGCGAACGAACCATCAAATTGCTGATCAATAAGCAGCGAAAGTAGAGAGAGAGAGAAGCTTCGCAAATAATGCTCGGCCGACCTGCTTAAAAGGACATAAAACTTTCCGCCAGGCAATCGCTAATGATGCTGAAAACTGGCACGCGCAGAGAGAAAGAGAAGAGATAGACGGTGCCGCCGTGCCCATTTTCTGCCGCAGCCGTAAAATTAAAATTGGCTCCGGAAAGTTTCTGAAGCGAGACTCATCTGCCCTTCGTCGAACAAGAATTAAGCCGTCAGTTGATTGCAAAAGTGTAGAGTGGTTTTTTATTCTCGTAAAAAATAAAATTTGTTGCCTAATTTTTATGAATTTTGTTACATTTATATTAGTCTTGCAAAAGGGAATATTTTTATAAAGAAGAAACAAAAATATTTGGTTGTGGTTTTGGTAAGCATTATTTAAGCCTAACGCACTTAAAAGAAAACCTTCATAAAAAAGTTTTCAGAAAATGAAAATTAAAAATGGTTGAAAAAGAAATTATGCTTCCCATTATTATAGTCGTCAGTTTTCTATAAGTTAAAACAAATTAAAACTAATTTACTTTCAATAAAGCAATTCTATTCGGATATTTTACCCAGGAATTTGAAAATTTATAAAACTTTGTTAATACGACTAATAAATAAACATATTTTAATAGCGAAAATTAGTCAAAAATATATATTATGCTATGATGATTTTACAGAAAAATTTAATTTTTGGTGTAAAGAGATTCATAATAGCTAATATTCTTTGCACTTCAATTTAAAAAATTTATGTCGATTTCTGAGATCGCAAATATTTCCTCTCATAACCAATTTGAATTATACCAATTAAAAAAAAATTATATAATTATTTGTAAAAAAAGAAAAACAATACTCACATAATTTCTAATGAGGTCAGGGTGGTCTGTCTCGATTCCGTCGTCCAAGATGGACACCACCACCCCTTTGCCAGTGATGCCATCTTGCCAGGCGGGCTGCACGTTCATGTCCAAGCCCTTGCCGCGATTCTGCAACAAGAAAGCACTCAGTGAGTCGCAAAGTCGGTCGCCAATTAAAAAATAATCGTGCGTTTTTACGGCGGGGCGTAAACGACAAGCTCTTAACACGCTCGGAAGAAAAAGGAAGCGCCGACAGATGAAGTTAAGAGCCGCCGGTGTGAGATAATAAAAAGGAATCAAAAAGGGCGGAGGAGGAGGGCGTGATGCCCTTTCATTCTTAATGCTGGTAAAAAGATGAGAAGTTTCCAAACACGGACTGAATAAGCGTTTTGATATATAATCTGATGGTTGACGCAAATCAAAATTATTATCAAGGCTTTTTACAGAAATATGATAAAATTTGATTTTAAATAAAAATCAAAGTATTTATTTAAAATTAATAGATTATAACAAAATTTATTTAAAGTTATTTCTTTTTTGGTGTTATTATCAATTTATTCTTTTTACTAAATTAATTAATTTTCTATGCTTTGAATGAAAATTTTAAAGAAGTAACTGTTGATTTATTGATTATTATTTTAAAAATTTCTTTATAGTATATAAATAAATTCACTTGGCATCAAACGCAGGCGTTACTTGAATCCACAATCTATCGATAGTTTTTGATGGCAGCAGTAAGAGACCTTTATTGAAGAGATTGAGATTCAAAACTTGCTAAAATTACGTCTTTGCGGACAAAATAAAATAGCACCAGTCCGTTCCTATCCTTGAGCTTCTCCTGAAGAATTTGTTAATAGGTGTGATTATTGCTAATGCAATAAAATCGCGCCCTGGGTCGATCAATAAACATCATTAAAGAAGACGGCGGGGTCGTGTGTTGTCGCTGCTGCTGGATGCTGGATATTGGTGTTTGCCAAGCGGGCGGGCAGTTTGTTTGTGAGTGTGTTTATTGCTGCAGAGAGTGCAGCGTATCGAAGCCTGTGCAGCCCAAGCTTTTGTTTGCACGGCCAAAGTAGTGCTGCAGCCAGTCAACAAAGCTCATTAAAAATGGAGAATCGACTCATGGCCTGTGTGCTTTTCAGCTTTTATCTATCATCGCCTGCAAATCCGCCCTGGCCAGACCGTTTTCCCTCAATTATTATAATTAGATTTTTTCATATCTGAGTAGAGGAAAATTTGTTCAACGTTTAGCGAAACGAGGCTTTTATTTGGCGCAAAATGAAATGGAGCCGACAAAGCAAAGCGGACCGACGAGGCTTTCATCTAATTTGGAATGCGTTTTACGCGCGCTCTGATGACTTAACGTGCGCTTTATTAAAAAAGGCCACGCGAAAATGAAAAATTAGCCAGATTTGCTCTGAAAACACTTTTGCATTCGAGAAAAGAGAGGCTGGGATATTTGAGCAAATTCAAACATTTGTTGAATTTAAAGTTAATATATCAATTAACAAATTCTTAATGAGAATTTGGAGTAATTTATCTATCGAAAATTGAAAATAGAAAGCTCGAAATTACATTTTTCAGGTTGAAAAGGAGATTTGTAATTAATTTTATAAATTATTTGCTGTGTCATGAGAATACTTTTTTCTCATATTTGGAGAAATTGTCTCCTAGACGGGAAATACGATTTTTTTTCAAATATTATTACGTACATTTATTAAAATTTCCAACCTTCTTCATGAGATTAAAAATGATCTCAATTTTGTTGAATAGTATCGTATTTTCAGAAGATTAAGCCTGCATAACAAATTATGTAATTAATTTAATGTTTGTTTCCAGAGTTGAACGTGGAAATGTGTTATTCTGCCTTCAGTTTGCGTTGCCTACGCTACAAAAATAATGAGCTCTTGCAAAGTCGGATTATGGTTGAATTCGTTGCCGTAGGAACGAAATAGGGCCCTCGAAGAAAGTTCCGAATCCAACTTTTGCGAGAAGAATGGGAGAGCAGGAAAGTCCCGGCAGAAAGAGAGATCAGCTTGAGAGAGGAAAAGGCCGTTTCCCAATATGTTCGAGGGAGGATAAAAGTTCCAAAGTGAAAAGAGAGAGGTCTATTTTCAAGTTTAAACTACGCCGTCGCTCTCCACCACTCTTGCACAAGAATTTGCGCCACACAAGAGCAGCAGAAAGGAACTGTGGGGTTAATTTCTTGGAAAAATTCCATCTCTGCGTCAAAGTAAAATATTTTATCAATAAAATTCGACTGATTTTGGGGCAAAACTCTTGCTAGCAGTGGTGCCGGTTTATCCAACAATTCATAATGAATTGCAAAAATTCAATAATAAAGAATTAAAATAAAATAGATAGGAAGGAATATCATTCTTTTTTTTTAAGGATATTAGAAAATCTTCACTGTGGTGATTGGATCTTATTCATTTTGGTAGTTGCAGCAAAATTCTGGATTGAGCAATTGATTTTTTTTTTCAAATTATGTAAAATGTTTTATAACAAATTGATCAGGGAAATTTCTGCAAAACTGAATCCAATTAAATACATTTCAGAACTTTTGACAATGATATTTATTTTATTTCATATCCGCAATTGTATTTGAAATGTCGAAATTCCTCCGGCCAATTCATCTCTCAAACTTTTCAACTTTCGCTTCGAGCCTTTGAACAAACCAACTTTGGCTGTCACATTTTGACACTCACGAATTGGCTGGATGGATTTATTTGCGCCGAAAATGTAATTAAACTGGAGCTTATCGCTCTGAATTTATTTCTATATGTACGAAATATAACATATTCGCCACGGCACGCATCGATTCGCGCACAGGGGCAAATGCAAAGTAGCTCGGCGACCGCCCACGGCGCTTTTTGCGATTCGACTCATTTGATTTGGTCGAAAGCAGCAGTTTGGGAGCCAAACTGGAATCCCCGCGGCTTTGAATGCGAAACGGCTGAACTCAATCGAGACACTGTGTCATAATTTGATTCAAACTTGGCTAATTATCGCGATCACCTGAAGGCGAAACGCGTTCTCCCGAGAGATGTGTGTATTTATTATTTTGCAAAAGTTTCAGAAATGACGCATGTGAAATTTATTTCTACGGCGAAAAGTTTCCTCCAAGTTTTGAGTAATTCAATTTTAGAATTCGTTGGCGCGTGGTTTTCAATTTGCAAGATTGAAATTTTGGGGAAGCGTCATGCGAGAGAGGATCAGGCGAAATTAGTTGCGAAACGCTGTGGTTTCCTGCTCGCGTTGGATTGGAAAATGCCTTCCTCCTTCCGTGTGATGAATTGCAGCCGACGTGAATTTGACGGCGGCTGCGCTTTATTGAAATCTCTACGCACGGCTCATAAAATATATTGATTTGCTTAAAAATTAAAAAAAAACTCACTTCCCATATATAATTACATAAGATAAAAATGAATAGAAAATAAAGGAATAAATTGAATAGTTAATTTATATTTTGATTGCAATATAATATTTGTTGATTACCCGTTAAAATGAAAATAAATTTAAATTTTTTACAATTTGATTTTTTTCTTCAATTATTCATTAACTATTGCAAAATAATAACCCTTTACATTTGAATATCAGACACAATAAAAATTAATTTGTGTGTAATAATTATTACACAAAATATCTGTATGTAATAAAATATTAGAATTAACGATTAACCGTTTTCAGAAAAGTTGAAATGGTCAAAAATTACCTTTAATTGTAAGCTAAATTAATTTTCATCTAGTTTTCTGATGAAGGTTCTATGGGACGCCGTATTAGAATTGATCTCCTCATCGCTCATTGGTTTACATAAACGCAGAGCAAAGGGAACGTGTGTTTTGATTCAAAAACCACAAACGCCACGTCATTCGAGATGCACCGATGGACGTCCACATGCACGGCAATAGACGTTCGTGAATCGCTCGCTAATTGAAGCTGATTGCCCTTGATTACAATTCGCCCTATTTGTATTTGCAGTGTGTGTCTCGCCATGTGCCGCGGCTAATTACATTGTTGTGCCTGCCAATGCGAGCTGCCGAATAATGGGAATCAACAAACAAACGCTACACTATGCATCACTGTACAGGTTGGATTCCATTTCACTGCGCGTGTGGCGGAAATTAAGTGTCTAATCAGACTGCGATTCACCGCTCGCTTTTGCTCGAGTCACCTTGGCTGATTTACTCACTGAGCGAATATTATTATACGCTGGGAATTGCACACGTGCTTCACAGCGGACACTTGATGCCATCTGGGAATTGAAATCTAAATTTGGACAGGTGATGTGCGATGAGCCTAATTGAATTTCGAGAGGAGTATTGAAACCCGATTAACCGTTAAAGTTTAGAACAAAGAGAAATTATGAAAATAGATTTATACAAATTTTTTTAAAGAAATTATTAACATCTTCAATTCCGGTTATTGAAGAAGTTGGACATTGTTAAAAAAAATCCAAAATTCAATCCAATTCAATTATTATTTCGCATCAAAAAACTCCTTCACAAACGTGAATCACAAAAAATAAACATTTAAAAATTATGAAATCAGCAATTTTCACGTTTGAAATGATTTTTGTTTTGTTTATCGATCTCCACTGCATACAACTTTCTCGCTGTTGTTCAGATCAGAGAACCAAAGCATCCGTCAGTTGCACATCGTAATTCAGGCAGGCTGTTGCAAAAATGATGGCCAACATGCATTTACATTTAGTGCCCTCGTTATACGGTGCGGGTGGGAGCGAGGGTGGCTAATGCAAGTGCGCGCCTACAGCAGCACGTACTTTATATATTTTTCGCGCCGCGGTAATTTTGCATCGTCATGAAAAAGTAATTTCCTCCGCTGATGAGATTTAGCTTTTTCTCGTGCCGCCGAGCCCATTCATTCGCATCAAAATCCGCCGGCTGATTACTCTATTTATGCGCCGCGAGTCGTATATTTTTCGCCTATCTCGCTCTTTGCCTCCCAAGCACCTCTTCCGCTTTCACCACAGCCGCCGAACCAGCCCGAGCCTGTTTAAAAGGGTTTCTGTGATAAGAATATGAAGGGGAGGAAAAAACGACACGGAAATTCCGGTCAAGGGTTTTTATTTTCCGCTCCTCCGGTTTCTGCATGTTGATACCGATGCG